TACTGTTCTGGGGTTCCTTATTATAATTATAGTATCATGGGCGCCAAAACCCTGTGCTAATTATTAAGGCACCTTTAAGGGTACTGATATATATATATATATATATATATGTTACATAATATGTATATATATATACATACATACATAAATGTCTTTTTTTTGTAGTACACCCCCGAAACCATGTTGAAACTATGAAGGCCCCTCTATTTGGGTATGAGGGTCGCTTTAGGCTTCTATAGTCTGCCCGCAGCCTTGCATTTAACAGCTACTTAGCATGGGATTGCACGGATTAAGATACCGCAGCAGCTTGTGTTCAGACTAAAATTTTTGAAAGCCCGCGAACAGGCTGGACATTTAAGCCTTAAAGCCCTCGAAACCCAAGCCGTAAATCCCGAATGCCCTGAAATCTCAACTCAGAACTTTAATTCTCTAGCCCTAGATTGCAAATCCTACACTCCCATAGCTTCGTGCCACGCATTCTCGCAATGGGTGTTTGGGATTTAGTGCTCCATCAGTGCTTGAGTTGAGCGCTCCTGCTGATATTCCAGCACCTTCATTTGTTGATTGTTGTCTCTCATGATCGCCTTTCTCACACTTGTCGGTGATGTTACTAAACTCTAAACCCGAGTGCCCCAGCTTTCAGCCGTTTGGTATGATTTGCAGCTGGCAAGGGTAGCCATAGTAATGATCAGGTATTGCAATGGGACAACCCTATGGAAAACTTCGCACAGAGATGTCCGCAACCTTTGCAAAGAGGAGCGGAGCCGCAAGCCTGATATTGCGTATGGGGGAACACAATGGACTTGATCTTCATGTCCGTGAGCCCGAAACGACCAAACTGATTGAGGTAAAACGTATGTCCACTTGACAAGGCAGCCAATCGCACGCAGTCCCAGCTTGGATCAGTAGCGCCGGAATTTTGTTCCCGAGGCCGAACCCGGACTTGACACTGAGCAGAATTCAAAGCCCTCAAGCCAGCAAGCAGCATGAAGTCGAATGCGCCCCTCGTCTGCAAGCTCTTGGCATATCTTGGTGTGAAATTGCTCCACCATCTTTGCAAGCCCTAAGCGCCCGACCCTAACTTCAAAACCCCAAAATCTTAGAGTATTGTTGAGTCACCTCTATTGCTGGCCCACCCGTCCAGACGTGCTCCTGTCAGACTCAAATTTTCAAGAGCTGTTTCGGAGGCAGAGATACAGAGAGAAAGCCGCTGAGTGTGGTAATTGCTGTTGTGTGTAGGTTAGCCATACAGTCCGAGCTCTTCAGGGTGTTTCCTCTCCATTTCCATGTCTTGCCAGCCGTTTATCACCACAGCTCCACGTACAAACCGTAGCTATCAGTTCAGGTTTCAGGGGTATTCAGTATTCATGGCTTAGGGTTTCAGGGCCATTGGGGTTGTTTCGTTTCTGTCTAGCGTCGCAGGAGTTGGACGGGTTTAATACGTTGTTTTTGCTTGCAAGGTTCCCAGCCTGTGCAAAAGAGAGTCGGGGTGGTTCAGGGTTCCATGGTTTAAAGTTCAAAGTCAAGGGATGTAAAGCTGACAGGTTTTAAGTTCAGGGTTGAGGGATGGTTCTGAGGAGATTAAATTTAGACCGTTCAAGTGGTTGCTGCATGCAGATTCCTGGAGAAGCTGTTGCAGGACAGTCAAGGAAATCTCGTGCCTTGTCTTCGTAGCTGAGAAAGTTATTTCCGATTTTCTTTTCGAGTTTACAGCGTCCTCCCCTAAACCCTACGCCCCGTAGCCCTAAATCCAAAAACCCTAAACCCTTTCATACTTGAAGCGGTAGACCTCTGTCGCATCTTCTCGCACTAAGGAATTGAGCTTCTTGGTTGTAGACGTCTTGTAGCGGCCTGGCCTTAAATAAACCCTTTAATTTAAGCCCCCCCACGTGGGCCTTAAGCCCCTAACAGCCCTGCTTTAAAGACCCTCAGCCGTGAACCCAGACGCCCCCTGTCCTCGGGAGTTTGCGGCAGGCAAACTCGAATGCTTCGAGAGCCTGGTGGACGAGTTGGGCAAGGCTCGATTGCTTCCCACAGACTCCAGAACCCTTTGAATTAAAGAATACAGTATACCGTGCAGATGAGGGCAGTTGGGTCTTGTACTGTACATCTTCCAACTTCGGTTTAAGTCTGACGTCGACCTCTTAGCCTTCCGTGCAGTATACCTGACATCTTATTCGGGCTCCCATTAAAAGTTGGGGTATATTCCCTCATTGAGGGATTTTGGAGTCTCTGGGTCAGGCGTCGACTCATTAGTGCCGCGTCAACGGGCTGGCGGTTTTGAGGTTCACGGTGGGGTTTAGGCCAGGAGTTTGTGGGAGTAGGCTGTTACTGTTTTGTGCTTCGGGCAGGCTAGGTGAACGGTGTACATTCTTGCGCTCCACCCCAGTCGTACCTCAGCACTTAGTGTAGCCATGCTTTGCGTGTTGTGGCTCAAGGCCAAAATGGTGTTCTGGTTAGTTGACCTCAGTGTGTGTGAGGTGTACCCAGAGTTGCTGGGTGTGTCTTTCATGTGTTTGGGATTGAACTCTTCGTTCTTCTGCTGCATGGAGTCCTTTATTCGGGACGCCGGCATAGAAAGTCTGGGAGAGTTCGCTTTCTCCAGTGACTCCTGTGCCAGTCGGCAGGAGGCCCAGGTCGAGGTAGGACCTGCTGTGGCCGACGCTTGGGAAGCTGCTCACGCAGAGTGCCGGCGCGGGCTTGCGCCGATGGTGCGAGATTTATACAGGCAGCAGAAACCCCGAGAGTCTTTGAGAACCCTAACAAGTAATCGCAAACCAGCGTAAAGCCGATAAGCCCTTCGAAACCTTAATAAGATGCATCTTCAATTCGCAAGTCCATAATCCCTAGGCCTTGATTTTTTTTGGAACTCCAGAATTCCGAAAGCGATCCCACAATCCCAAGATCGCAAATAGGAAGACCTGAGAACCTAAACTCCCGAAGCCCTTATGGATTCTTTCAACTAACCTGTAAAGGCACGCCCCCAACACCCCACAGAATCCCAAACCCAAAACCCTAAGTTCCAAACCCTAACCCCAAAACCCTAAGTTCCAAACCCTAAGCCCTAAGCCCTAAACCCTAAAACCCTAAAGCCCTAAACCCTAAAACCAAGTAAACTCTACAAGAAAGATCCCCTGCAAGTGATCGTACCTATAGTCTCCACTGTAGTCCTTTTTTTGGTTTAACCAATTTTATACTAAGGATCCTAGAAGGTAACCCCAAAAAGGAACTACAATGGAGACTATAGGCTGCTACCCTAAACCCCAAATCCTAAACCCTAAACCCTAAATCTTCGGGGTTTAGAGTTTAGTGTTTTTTGGGGTTTAGGGCAGGAACCTGATTAAGAAACCCTTGACTGTGAGGTGGCGAGCGCTAGCGAGGCTTGGCGAGGCAGCGGCCTCGAATCCCTTCAGGGTTTTCCTCTAGTTTAGGGGTTTAGGGTTTAGGGGTTTAGGGTTTGGGGGTTTAAGGTTTAGGGGCTTAGGGTTTAGGGGTTAAGGGTTTGGGGTTTAGGGTTTTCCTCTAAGTTTAGCTGGGCTGTCTGTTGGGATCTTTTTAAATTCCCCTTATGATGTTGCAGAGGACCATAGTATTAAATAATTTTCAAAGGGCTTAAAGAACAACTCAATTAAGAAGTTTCCCTTGCATGAAAATTTTCCCATAAGTTTAGGGGTTTAGGGTTTGAGGGTTTAGGATGTTTTTATAAGGGTTGGGGTTTAGGGTTCAGGGGTTTAGGGTTTAACGGCTTAGGGCTCAGGGTTCCTGCAAGGGTTTTTACAAGGGCGGAGTTTACGGTTGCGGCGGGGTCTATAGAATCCAGAAAGGGGTTCTTGAGGGGAGCTTAGAGCTTTTGTGGCTTCTCGTGTTTTCCCCATCCATGAACATTAAGATTCGTGGGGCCAGCGGCTAGTGTAGACGCTTTCGTAGGGGTGTCATTCAAGATTTATCGTTTTTCGATGTTCCAGCCGCTTTGGTAGGGTGCTGCTTTGTATTTAACCGTTTAGCGAGTTATGGCTTTCATGAAGGGCTTCATTTAACCTTCCCCTCAGGCGCCGCTGCACAAGAACCCACGAGCCAAGCCTCCAAGCCACGATACCCTAAACCCCAAACCCTAAGCCCCACTTCAGCGTTATACCTTATAGCCCAGGAGCCCCCCGACCCCTAAGCCCGGCAAAAGCTTGGGAAGCCACAGAAGATTCGATAGAACCCTATGAGACTTTTGAGAAACCCGACGGAATATTGTACAATCCGAGGCAACTTACACAACCTTATACATAACTTAAGTAGGCGACAGGCTTGTCCTACCCTGTACCCGGAACCCTAAACTCCCGAACGGAGCTGCAAGCAGCTTCCAGCCCTTCAGGAGAGCTTCGAAAGCTTGGACTGGAGCAGATTATCACTGCGAGGCTTTGAGGGTTCCGGCTTTAGGATTTTGTAGGGCTTTTAGATTTAGGGTTTAGGGTTCAGGCTTTGTAGGGCCTTTACCTGTCCGATATGGTTTATATCTAGGTTCCTTGCAGAGCTTTATCTTGTTTTTGAAGGGGGACCTTGGTGCTGGGAATGAAACAATTTTTTGATTTCTTTGAGATAGGGTCCCGATTCAGGTCCCCAATATAGAACAGCACCCTTATCGAACAGGACCCTAAAAGGGACCCTACTTTAGACAACTGCCCATACCCTACACCCCCCAACCCTAGTCCCTAAACCCTAAACGCTTAAAGGACCCTTATTCAGACATAACCCATATACGGGCTAAACAGGGCACTTTGGGTTAGCCTAGGAAGGGTTCCTTTAAGGGTTCCTCGAAGGGTCAAGCCCTAAAGCCCGAATCAAGAACATCCCGAACCCCACTCTGCAACTCCAAAACCCTTCAACCCTAAATTCCTAAATCCCTGAACTCAAAACCCCTAAAGCCCTAATGCCCTACAACCCAACACCTAAACACCGAAGCCATTGTGTCTCAGAGTGTGCCAGCAGCTTTCCCCAATCTCCTCGGCGCCATGACATCTGTGGAAGGATCGTTGGGCAACAACGCCGGCGGAGGAAAGGTGACTTCGTCATGTATTTATATATATATATACACACCCATTTATCTATGTATATATATATATATATATTTATTTACATGTATCCCCTGTATTCCTTTCAAAGTTGTATACGTTTAATTCCCAAGCCTTATTCGCATTATATAGGCCCTTGTTGGAGTTGACTGTGAATACTTGAAGCCCGCGTGGGGGTTTATATTAGCCCGATACCCGAATCCGCAACTTCGAGGGCAAGTTTCCTCAGGGTTTCGACTCATGGTCAAAGGAGCCCACCCCACAGCCCGAAGCCTTGAGCCGTAAGCCTCGGACGCAAACTCAGGTGAGGAGCGACATGAGTGATGTTCCAGAAGGCTTCGTGCTCCCCTCCGGGGATGTCCAGAAAGGCCATAAGCTCTTCAAGAAGCACTGCGCGCAGTGCCACTCTGTCTTCCCCGATGCTTGACGCTTCAAAGCTTCTGGTGTAGGTTCAGGGTTTACCGTTTGAAGGTCGGTTTGTTTGGGGTCTTTGCTTCTACGATCTGAGCTGGATTTCTGGGCTGGATGTAGTGGCGTCGATAATATAGAGGCCTAGATATACCAATGCTACCTTGTGGTTCGTTAGTGTACCTCTAATATGATACGCCCCAACCCTATTTTCACTATTTTCACTATTGAGGCCCATATGTTACGTGGCTGTCTTACCATCTCGAAGTATCTTGGCTGCCTCACTCCGACCCGAAGTCTCAACCGCCCTACACTGCACCATCCTAAATCTTCAAAGCCCTGAATACCTCCCTTTGACCCGAACTCTAGCACCAGAGAGCCCTACAATCCCAAGCCGCAAAGACCTAAACTCCAACCCCTCAAGCATTCAAACTCAGCAAGCATTAGAGGTGGAACAATTCGTGTTGCTATTCCGTAGGATCTTATTGCATTTATCCTCGAGTATACCCGCCAGAGAAACTGTTCCCACTTTTAAGGCTCCCTTTTCTGCAATGCAAGCCACGGCACCGTCCTCAAACCTGTAACCCTAACCCCGAATTCCCCAGGACAATCGAACAGACTCTGGCACCGTCTACGGCCCGACGCTCTTCAACATCTACGGCCGAGCCAGCGGCGAGGCGGAAATCGCGCAGAAGAACATCATGGGAGCGAGAGCGAAAGGCGCCGGAGGGTGTGTCTGCTTGGGGGCTTTGGCTGCAAACCCTAAGCCCTAAAACCCTGAAACTCTAAACCCCTAAAGCCGTGAACCCTAAGCCTAAACCCTTAATCAGCCCTAAAACCCCATGCCCCTTACCCACTGAACCCTACAGGTGTTAGTTCAGAAGCTTTGAGGCTTGGGCTCTTCGAGCTGAAGGTGAGGGTTTTGGGGTGTGGAATATATAGGGGTCTAAGTATTTCGAATAGGGCTCCTTTACGAGATCCTATAAGGGTACTATGAGGGTTTAGTATAGGGGCTTAAATCATTACCAATACTGTTTTGGGGGGTTCCCCATTAAAACTATAGTAAAATGGGCCCCGAAACCCTATTCTATAAGGCCCCTACATTAGGGTTTAGGGATGTCTTGGGTTTGGGGTTGCGGAGGGGGTGAGGAGCTTGAGGACTCGGGAATTATATAACCCTACGACAATTGAAAAGTTAACCCTTTTTGGGCTAGGATACTCAGCCCCTCAGTTGTTCTAGTCCATATTATCAGTGTATGTCGGTTGCGGATGTTGGGACAACGAGTACTTACTGAGACTAACATGTGTCTCTGACTGTGATGATGACTATGGCCTTTGTAGCTATTGTAGCTACTGTTGCAGCAGGTTTGTCGCAATTGCAACACGCTTTAAAGGTACCATGAGATGCTGATGACGAATAGGAGCATGGTGTTTTGATGATGATGATGACGATGATGACGATCATAAGGATGTTCAGGACGGTGATGGTTACGATGATGATGAGCATGGTGGAAGCTGGCGAAGAAGGAGAAGACGATGATTTGATTCTGATGACGAAGAACAAGACAGAGAAGATTAGTGTTAACAAGAACAAGGCAATGGTGGTGCTGATGACAATGACGGTGCTCCTTGCGACGGCCATGGCCGTGGCGGTGGTGGCGGTGGCGGTGGTGGTGGCAGTGGTGCTGGTGGTTGTGATGATCTTGGTGCTTACCGGTGAGGAGTTAAGAGTCCTACGAATCGAAATCACAGTCATCATCATCCTCATCCTCATCATCAACAACATCTCCTCCTCATCCGCTTCATCCCCGCTCATCCGCATCCGCATTCGCGTTTGTGTCTTCATTGTCATCCTCATCATCCTTTTTTGCTCCCGCATCTGCTACGGCTAGCGCTGTTCCTACTCCTTTGATTTCTTCTTCCTCCTCCTCTTGCTACTACTACTACTACTACTACTACTACTACTACTACTACTACTACTACTACTACTACTACTACTACTACATACCACTACTCCTTCTCTTCGTCCTCCGAGTCCTTCTCCCTACGTCGATGTCTTCGCTGTTGCGGTCAGCCTCAGCTCTGCAGGCCTCATTTGGGATGACGCGAACCTCATGAGATACATGAAGCACCTTCCCTCAGCTTATGCAGAATCATGTTTCGGTGTCTTTTTGATATGTGTGTATATATATATATGTGATAGGCCCAAGGATTTATGGGTCAAAGAGGGCCTTAATTGTGGTATTGTCTTTCGGCGACGGTGTGGAAACTTCGGAGTTTGGCGTGAAGGCTTGTTCTTTTCGGATCTGTTCAGGGTATTGACCCTAAACCTTAAGCCGTGAACCCTAAACTCTAAGCTTCCCTGAACATTTCTTCTTATTAGAACTCCTGCCTGCGGGGAGAGGTGCAAAGCCAGCCTGAAGGCCTAAAGCCCCGAGGCCGTAAAGCAGTATATCCTCAACCCCCACAGCCCTAAAGGCTTAAATCTCTGACGCCTTAAAGCCCTACACCCTAGAGCCCTGAAGCCCTATAGCTGTGAAGTCTCAAGCCTCATACCTTCACAATCCTCAGCCTTACACCCTGAGGTACTTTGGACCCCTTACACGTCTTGCTTTTGGGGAAGGAAAACGCAGGGATGACAAGCTATGCGTAGCTACAGTCTTCAGGGTGTTGAACCGGGTTCCAAAGTTTTCGACTTGTCAAAAATGATTGTACTTTTAGATGCCTAGACACTTCAAGACCCCTTAATTTAATGAGCACACCTTAAAGCGGCATAGGACCCTAACAAGACTTAAGTTACATTCCTTAATTAAGGGGTTTTGGGAGTCTCTGTGCATTTTGCCGAAATGCAGACTTGCTCCCTACGTGGAAGCCTGTGGGACTTAGTAAGTTGGTTATAAGTAGAGTTTTCAGTACCCTAAATTGCCTTACCCAAACTATAACCCTGTTTAGAACCCACTTACGAAGTCCCTTGGGCATCCAAGTTTTGCCAGTTTTTGTAAGTACCGACAATTGTGTTTAGCTTTTCTGTGTTTTGGAAAACATTCGCACGCGGCGGCCGAGACTTTTTCTCAAGCTTTAGGGTGTGGGTTTCAGGTTGTGTATTCCAGAATAAACAGTTCCAAAATGTTAACAATGTCTCTAAGTCGATTAACACATGTTGGAAGGTTTTCCCAAATCTTCAGCCCCAAACCCACTAATTCTAAGCTCAACCCCGAGGGCGCCGAACTTGCTCGCCTCGAGTCGGTTTCCCGATGGGCCTACCCCCAAACCCTATTCCACTTATCCGGGCCGCGCCCAGACGAAAGAGAGCTTTGGAAACAGTCGAAGCCGTAAGCGCAGAACCCCACAGCCACCGCACGCAAACAGATTCAACAAATCACTCAACTCAAGCCCTCAACCCGATGCAAAAGGCTGGCTCGGCCCGCACCCGAGCCCCGGAAACCCCAAGCCCTCAACCGAGGAACCCGCGCCAGACCACGGGGGTGAATGTTCAGGCCGGCTTTCTGATCTTGAAACCTCAAAGCCTCGGGGGTCTAGGGCTTTGTAGGTTTTAGGGTAGGGCTTTGCCATGCTTAGGGTTTGGGGCTTTGTGGGGGATTAGGCTAAGGTGTGATGGGGTGTCTCCTGTCCTCAGATTTGTAGTTGAAGGGGACCCGTCTAAGGGATCCTCTAAGGCATCCCGTTCAAGGGGATCCTTGCCCAGGGTTTAGGGTTTCGGGGCCTTAGAGTTTACAGTTTCGGAATCTCGGGTCTAGGGTTTATGTTTTTGAAGGCTTTGGGGTTTAGGGTGTACTATATTACAGGTTGCGAATGTATGGTACTGTATGGTTTAGCCTCTAAAGCACGCCGCATCACCGGCCTTGCAAGCCCTGACCTGACGTCCTGCACCCAACAGACCTCATTCTACCTATCTAGGTTCCTCAGCACTACCCTTCTGCCCTTTTTCTTTTTGGGTTCTTACTAACACCACCTAGAAGGAAAAAGGGTACCCTTTTGATTAAGGGGCTAATTCTGGAGAACCTACCTGCGAAACCCTCAACCTTGGGTACGGCCCCCACTCAGTAATAGTTGAATAATATTCATAATATAGATATATTAGGACCTTAATAGTAGCCCTATTATAGACTCTTACCGTATGGGGGCCGTACCTAACCTCAACCTGCCCTAAGGCCAACGCCCTGACGGCCCCCCACCAGAAAACGAAGCCTAAACCCAGAACTCTGCTAAGGCCCTACAGTAGAAGCCCAAAACTTCGAAACCCAATCGCCTCAATCCTTAAGAGTTATGTATAGGAAATCCAAGCACTATTCGGCCTTAATCCGGTTTCCAACTTCATGGGCTTTATTATAATCTCCAAACTTTAAACCTATCTTACCTTAACACCAAATAACCTCCTTTGTTAAGGGTTTATATAAGGGAGTCATAACAAGGAACCCTAAAGATGTAGGTTCCTTAGGGTCCATGTAAACCCACACCCAAAAAGGTTTCGAACAGATCCGGCTGGTGTTCTGCTGATGAAGTAGATTTCGACTTGGTCGTAGTACAAAACTGAAGGGTTTACTGAACAAATGAAAGGGACTTGTGGGGAACCCTGACCAGGAGCTTACGTACATTTGAGTTGCCTTCATCAGAAAGTCTCAATATTTCCAATAAATCGCTGGCTGTTATGCCACTTCATCCACTTAAACCCCAAATCCTGTCAAAGAACCCAGCAGAAGCCACCCGACAGATGAACTTCCGCGGCATCGATGACTTCCAGACGCGCGTGGACATCGTGCACTACCTCAAGACTCTGACTCTCGGGCACATTTTAGGGTTTTGGGTTTGGGGCACATGGGTTTAGAGTCTATGGCACATCTTGGAGAGGGTTTAGGGTGGTTTGGGGCGCATAGGTTTAAGGTTCAGGGTCTCGGGATGTGGGACAGAGTTTTGGATTTAGGGCTTAGGTGAGCCTAGGGCACATGTTGGAAAAGGTGAACGAGAAGCCTGAATAATTCCCAAGACTTTTCCTTGGGACTCCTAATGCAATTTAATTTCGATGCTCCTATACGAACCCTGCTCTAATCGCAAATTACTAAGAGCCCCCCACATTACATGGGTGGTTGTTAAAATTAGGGTCCCTTCTTGGGTCCCTAAAACAATACGGCACCTAGAATTTAGGGTACCCAAAAAGGGACCCTAATTTTGACAACCACCCACATGCTGAGCGGTCTACAGCGATTAAAAGGCACCGGTTCGCGGTCTCAGGGTCTGAGGGTGTCATAGACTTTCAGTTCTTCCAGCTGGGCGGTTGTCAAAATTATGGTACCTTTTTGGGTCCTTATTATACTACGGCACCTAATCTTTAGGGTACCCAAAAAGGAACCATCATTTTGACAACTACCCAGGTGTTCAGAAGCTTAGGACCTTTTTTGTTCAGGGTTTTAGGGCCCAAGATCTTCGGGTTCGGCAGGTTTTGCAGATGTTGAAGCAGGTTCTAGGAGTGTACGGCATGATGGGTCCAGGTGTTGTGGATTTAAGATGTTTAGTTGTGGTACCTATCATACACCATAAGCTCATGAGGACTTCATAGCATGAGAAGGAGGCAATAGTGACGTTGTCTTGAGGAACCTAGCCCGCGATCTTTACGCCTCGGAGAATAATCCTGCTTACATGTTGAAGCCCTCTAAGCGTTAATTCTGAAACGCAAAGATGCACTCCTACTGCCTAAACCCTCAATTCTGAATCCTGCACCCTAAACCCTAGCCTCCGAATCCTATCAAAAAACGTGCAACAAACAAGCACCGTAGGCCCTTAACCCTTCAAGTCCGAAGCCAGATATTGTCGACCTTGACTAAGGACCTGGGACAACAAGGCGGCCCGGATGCACTTGGATGAATTAACCTTAACATTAGTGAAAGGGTTGATGGTTTGAGGTTGAGGGTTAGGGGTCTACTGGTCTGGTTTCGCGAAACGCCTGGGGCTTCGGGTTTGGGATTTGGGGGTAAACCAAAAATTTACATAGGAGCATCACTGTACACTTAATAAAGACGGATCGCCATCACACATAATTACTGTAGACGATTGACTCTATTCTACATAAACCGAAGCTGCGAGAATTTGGTGCCCAGAGGCCCTGAGCCCTGAGCCCTAACCCTCACCCCTAAACCCTAAACCTTGAGCTCTAAACCGTCAACACTTGAGCCCCAAAGCCCTAAACCCTTCATGCCCAAACCCCCCCAGAAAGCTGAGGACTTGGTGAATGCGACACATCGTCACCATTGAACGGCAGGCAGCTACCGCTCTTCCGGACGCGTTTCACAAGCGGCTAGCGGAACCCAGCTCTTTTCGGGCTGGTGTGCAGGCCGCTTGTCTTTTGTGAGGTCCAGCCTACATATATATATATATATAGACAGATGGGTGTATATTTGTACATACACATATGTATGTGTATATATATATATATAGATATGTATATACATATGTGTATACGCATACATGTACATGTGTGGGTATGTATGTGTGTGTGTGTGTTTGTATGCGTATGTGTACCTATGTATGTATGTATGTACGTACGTAAGTATGTACGTATGTATGCATTCGTGGACGTACAGCCATATCTCTATTTGTATCTATATCTATATCTGTATCTATATCCATATCTATACCTATACCCATATCTACTAACCGATATTCATATCCATACCCACATCTATATTTATATCTATATCTTGGTCTATTGTAGCTCTTCCTTTATCTATATCTTTACTATCTGTATCTATAGCTATAGATATAGCTTTATCTGCTATAGCTATATGAGTATCCGTATCTTTATCTGGACCACTGTCTATACCTGCGTCTGCATGGGTCTACATCTTTATCATATAATTCTAGATCTAGATCTCTATTGTCACTATATCTATATCTATACCTATATCTCTATCTGTCGCTGTCTCTCTCTCTCTCTCTGCATATATGTATGAAAAGGATATGAATGTGTGTAGCTGTATGTGTGGTGAGACCTGTCAATCTGCCGATCAAGCCATCAAACTTGGCTCTGTTTTGCTTGCGTGACTTTGTTGAAGGGTTGCAGCGTTGATGCATGTACACGCATATTTGGGCAGGAAGGAGGATGCCTGGTATCAGATACTATGATGATGTAATGGACCTCGCTGCGGAACGTCCAGAAGAATCAAGTTGCAACTTTGCTTGCATACTCGGGCTTTCGTTTCGAACAGCCTGCGGTGAGCTTCTCCTGCTGCGCGATGGGATTTCACCAAGCGGTTCCATTTGACCGAGAACGCACGACCAGTAAAAGGTACGCGCCAGGCTGCAACATGGCAGGCGAGTCGTAAACCGAAGCCCTAAGCCCAAGAATCTTAAACCTCCCCTTTTTTGGCCTCCCATCAAAACCCCTGAACCCCTAAGCCCAAGTCCTAATCCCTGAGCCCGAAAGCCTAGTCCTTAAACCCTGCGCAGAGCCGGGAGACGATGTTGTAGTAATTGACCCCTGGATACTCGGTTTAGGGTTTAGGGTTTAGGGTTTTCGGATAGTTAAGGGTCCAAAGGACTTAATAATTGGGTACTCGGTTTTAGGATAGTAGATATGTAGGTTAGGATTTGGGAGAGTAGATGATCATTGGGAACTTGGACCCTTGGGGAGGTTGAGAACACTTGACCACCCATGACCTACGAAGCCAAAGCGCAAGGGCCTCGATCCAGGCACCATTCAAAACAACCCTACTTAGAGGCCCAGGGGACGTAAGGGTTCCTTTAAAGGGTTCCTTCAAGGGTTCCTATAAGAAATCTATAAGGGTTCTAGCTATAGTACTTAGAGGTGCAGGGGACTTAGAAAGTAGGTTACAGGTAGACTGGTAAGTCCCCTAAATGGAGTTAGCCCAAATATACCCCTACTCATACCCGACTTACTAATCCGCCTGGGCCTCCAAGTAGTGACCCTGAGGTCGACGTCTTTGTATCCCGAAGGCCCAAAGTGCACTCCTTCGAAGAGCGGTTTAGGGTTTTAGGGTTTTCCCCGAAGCCTCGATGGTTCATTCTACACCCTAACCCCTAAAACTCCAGACCCTAAACTCTAAACCCTACTCCCTAAACCCTAAACCTAAACCTAAAGACCCCATCAAAGACCCCAAAAGCCCTAAAAAAAGAAGACACCCCTGGGAAAAAGTCCCAAAACGAGGGCTGTCGAAGTTCGAGCTTCGCCCGAGCGAGGATGCCTGAGTTCTTGCACAACCGGAGGGCCATGAAGTGCCCTCTCATTCTTCTGGGGGTTCAGGGGTTCCTTGAAAGGGTTACCATAAGGGTTCTATGAGGAATCTGTTTCAGGTGTAGGGGTTTACGGTTTCGGGTTGAGGGTGCAAGCTTAGGGTTTGGCTTTTACGAGCTTTTTTGCCTTCTTACGTTACTTAGAACTTGTTTTTGTTGTTTCTTTGCTGTTTTGTTTGAGCGAAGGGCCCGTGGATGGTCTAAAACCTGTGTGTTTGGGGGTGACTTTCTTAGACAGTTTCGGTTTTGACATGACGCTTCATGCTTCTTTCGGTGAAGGCTGGAGAGCCGGGGATGTAGTGTTGAGGTAAGGATCGAGGGCTGAAGGGTTTAGGACTTTAGATTGTAACTTCCATTTCTGTGTCACAGTTGGGGAACGTGCTACAGTCTTCTGGGTACTTAAACCCAATAAGGAACAAGCATTTAATTTCTTAATCCTATCCCAACCATGAGTTAGATATAGAGAGCTGCAGCTTCTTCAGTTCTGTAATAGCCGACCCGGGCGCCCCTGTACTCCGATGGGAGGATGAGTCTTCGCTTGGGAGCTGGTGATCACTATAGGGGCCTGAATGATTTGAATAGGGTTTTGGGAGATAGTATACTCCAGTTAAAATGAGGAACCCCCGAAATGACATAGGTAATAAATAAAGCCTTTATAGTAGGTTTCTGCATCTACCCTTCTGCTTGTTAGTGTACAGTATGTACCGCAAGACCTTATTCTATACAGTCATGCCATGAAGACCCTAAACCCTAAACCCCAGGATCAATGGACTCAGTAAGTAAGTGATCAATAAGAGGGTTTTGAGCGTCCCTACCCTACTTGGTCTAATGTAGGAACTTGATTAAGAAACCCTGGGCCTATAACCCCCAAAATAGTAGGATTCATAGAAGGAACCCTAGTAAGGACCCAGGGTGTCTTAATCAGGTTCCTACATTACTCATATGGGAGTTTCCGAAAATTAGGGGTACCTTATTTTGGGGGGTCCTGATAATAAGGATCTTACTATAGGGTACTAGATTAGGGTCGCCTAGTTTCGGAAACTCCCATATCCCGTACTTTCAGGGCTTAGGGCTTCAGGGCCCTGGGACCCCGAGCTGACTCAGACAAGCACTGATCTAGGGGCCCTAATAATTACCTATACCATCTGGAGGGGGTTCCTTATCATGATACACCCCCAAAACCCTATTCTAGTATTAAGGCCCCTATATTATGCATTATTGTATGAACCAGAACCAGCATTCCTCTACGAGTTGAGGTATGTTGATGTACGTTGCTTTGTTAAGCCGGCCCAGACTTCGAACAGCCCGAGAATAACCCCAACAGAACCCTTGACAAAACCCCAACTTAGAGGCCCAGGGGACTTAGTAAGTAGGTTATAAGTAGAGTTATAAGTCCCCTAAATCGAGTTACCCCAATTAGAACCCTATCAGAACTCGTGACAAAGCCCACAAAGCCCTAGAGCCACCCTGTAAAAATCAGGTACGCAACCTGGTGTGCTGCCTCTATGGTCGGTCTTCCTTATGTCGTTCAGGCACGGCTGCGTCACGGTCTTGGGTTAATTAAGTGGTTAGGGTTTGGGTAGCCCCATATAAATCCTAGACCGTACTTTCTTGTAGGATTATGAGGACAGCCGTGGTCGCCACGAGCTAACATGTGCGAGCCATCTTTTCGCAATTGGAGGCAGCTTTGGTTGGAAGCGTTTAACTTCACTCTTTGTAGTTTCGTTGCTCCCTGGAGCTAATACGCATGAAAACCTAGACCCACACCCTACAAGCTTAAAAGGCCCAGAACACCCAACACCCGAAAGCCCTCCTGGACCCGAATCCGGCGAAGCTCTTCGCCGATGCAGCCAGCTGTCGAAACACCAAACTCACTCGAAAGCCTTGCACACATCTTAGTAGCTGAGTGGATACACTTTACACTTTTTGGATAATACTACCAACTATAAAACTAGAAGTGTACACTTTTGGGGGGCTTATGAACTCAGCAACTAAGATATAACTCTAGTCCGAAACGGCAGAAACATCTTAGTATTTGAAACTCTTCGCCGACAACCCAAAATCCTAAACCCAAAACCAAGCCCGCAGCCCTCACTTCATAAAGCACAGCTTCAACCCAACCTAAGCCTTATGAGTCTCTATTAGTCTATACATATTTCACGATCGCCACCCTACACTGACATTTACAGAGTACCTCCGCTAGCTCTGAGGGCACCTTCTTCTCTGTGACTCTTTGAGCCGCATGTCCAAAGCTACCAGCTGGCCACACGTGTCTCTGAGTTTCAACCTGCTGTTTCGGAGTGTTGTCATTGCAGTTGCAGTCTTACTGCTCGCAAGGGCAAAGAGGAGACGGACAGTGCGAAGTGGTATAAAGCAGTTTACAGCTTCGAACACCACTACCATGGCCACCTACCAGTCCAGTACTAGTTACTGCTGCTTGTGCTTGTTGTCTTTCTTGCACTAGTAGTACGAAAGTAACTGCTAGTACCGAAAGTGCCAGAGGTGGCACTGCTACCATGAAAGCCTTTGATACGACGGTGACTTTCAAAGTTTCGACAACGACCAGTTCCATCTAAGTCTACTTGTGCAGTTTAAGATACACCCGAAAACCCATGCCGAAGCCGAGATCAAAAGTCAGACACATCTCAAACCGGATGAAATAGAGGCCTTAACTCCTACCTATAAATTTTGGGGGCTCCTTATCATAGTTATAGGATTGCGGGCCCCAAAAGCCTATTCTAATTATTAAGGCCCCTATATTATGTCAGGAGCTGCGCACACACTCCCAAAGCGAGATTGCCGTCGATGCTTGCTTCTGCACCATCATCGACATTCTCGACGACGATGTATCGGGTGTCGTGCTCAGGGGAAGCAGCCCTACTATACGGGCCTTAATTCATGATTACCTATACTATTTTGACTATTTTGGGGGTTCCTTACGAAAAAAATTAAGGCCCCTACATTAAGCCCTCAACCCGAAACCCAGTGATGCTGTGTCGCCTGTGACAGGGGCGTCGTTGCTCTCCTGCGCTTGGGGGTGCGGGAATCTTACCTTTGGTTAGTAGGGATTGGAAAAATGGTAGTAATAGTAGTTTTAATTGTACCCCATTCCTCCATTCCCTACTAACCAAAGGTAAGGAATGAGAAGCCTGCAATTCCTTGCCCAAGAAAGGGCATCTCCCACTCTTTTAGTGAGGATAGGGTTGCTGGGCCCTCTTACTTAACCCACCAGAACCTACTTTTAACAAGAACCTAACCTACTTTTCATAAGAACCTACATAAAAGTGGGGTTTAGTAGGTGGCTGAATAGGGCGTGTCAGACTCAGGAAAACTGAAGCAGTATTGCCAATACTGTGTTAGTATTTATTCCTACCCCTACTTCAGGGTTTCAAGTTTCCTGTTATTCGGGACTTCATCAGTCATGGGCGTCTCAGGAAATGAGGGGTAAGGATCCTTGCAGCATAGATCCCCTTGATATCCTCTATTGTCTGAATCTCCCACACGTTCTTCAGTTCAACACCCAAACTGCATAAAGCTTAGACCGTGAACCGAGGTGAATGGCTTCTGCAACATCAGCGCCTAGAGGCGTGAATTGGTATTTGTTGCGTAGGGTTTGTGGGGCTTGTAGGGCTTACTGAGTTTATAGGGCCTTTAGCGCATGTGGATTCAGAGGGTTTAGGGTTTGGCGAATGTCCCGAGTCACCGTGACACCGTAAGTAAGGAATCAGAGCCATCTTCATATGCTTCTCGTCTCTTTCTCATATGAAGGTTGGTCAAAATTATGGGCCCGTTTTGGTCCCGTAAACTGCATAAAGGAATATAAACTTTAACACAGACCCCGCAAGGGCCGATAATTTTGATCAACCCCCATATGCTGCTATAATACTGCGAGGACGACGGCTGCTACTGCGCATTCATATTTGTTAGTTACTATGAAAGTTCGAACTACTACGTCTATGACGACGACCGCTACCATCAAGATCGTCATGACATCATCTTAAACGTATCAGCAGTAAGACCACAAGACGGCGGTAATTACAGTAGTACAGTTTCATACAGAAGCCACAACATATGTAGTAGTGGCAAGCCTACGCAGAGCAGCATCGAATACTACCACATTTGTCGCAACAGACAAAACGGTTTTTGTAACATGACAATAGTTCTGGCGGTGGTGCTAGGGATAGAAAAGTTAGCAGTAATTAGCAGCATTGGTAGTAGTGGGTTAAAGCCACAAACAGCCCGATTTCCTGAGCATTACATGTTTCTCGAGATCTCCAGCATGAAACTGGCGGCGCTGTACCCCCAAAACCAGAGCCCGAAACCCGAAACACAACTTTGTGCAACGTGCAGATCTTTCATTTCTAGTGCAGGGATGATCTTAGTAAATGATTACAATGGGGTTTTGCGGTCCATTCTGGTATCATAGAGGAATACTGCTTGAAATGGTCCAACTCTCAATGTCATCCGCTGTGAACTCTTCTGGATCGGGCTTCACGGTTGGGGTTTGGGGGGTTTAGAGGTTTAGAGGTTACGGTTTAGGTATCCAGGTCTTTGTAATGGATGAGGATTCAGCATAAACCGACCCAAGGTTGCTATACTCGGCTATGCTATAGTGTACCATGCTATATACTATATCTATACAGTAGTCTCTATACTTTATTGTACAATATATACTTTATACTATATACTATACCGTATGATGCGCTACGTTTCCATATCACTTACATTCAGTACATTCAGGCCCTGGGCTTTCGAACTGCAGGGTTTAGACCCTGAGCCCTGAAGCCCCAGTCCCCAAATCTTACAACCGGCCGAATACGCTAGGGGTTCGTTCCGTTGAGGCTTGCTTTTAGGGTTCCTTTAAGGCTTCCGTTTAGGGTTCCGTTGAGGCTTGTTTTTAGGGTTCCTTTAAGGCTTCCGTTTAGGGTTCTGTTAAGGCTTCCTTTTAGGGTTCCTTTAAGGCTTCCTCTTTTCGAGGCCTCAAAGCAACCCCTGTAGAGCTGCTAAAGAAACTCGCCGCCGTCACGAGCCGTAAACTTGAAACCCTCTAAGGCCGTCATTTTGTATGCTAACAGTGGCCCTTGCAGTACCTAGTACCTTTGTTGCAGTAACCTTTCTAGTCCCTAGTACCCTACTTATCATGGATAAATGCCTTGACCCGGCCCTAAACCCTAAAGCGGAGCCACCTCTTTCCTCGGAGGCGGATGTGCTCAATGCGAGTGATGTCTCGTTGCTGATGGATATGGTGGTGCAGGCGGCTCGGGTTTGTTTAGGGTGTCGGGCTCAGGGAGAAGATTCAGGGTTTGAGTTTAATCAGTTGGGGGTTTGGCAGCTAGGGCTTAGGGTTAGGGACCCGCATAGAATTTTAAACTTAAGCTACTGAAACCGGCTCCCTCTCTGGGTTTCCGGGTTTTTTCCTTTAAGCTCGAAACCCTGAACCTTAAACTCGAACTATCTGTGGAAGCCTCTCTAGAGCTGCGACTGCTGCAACTGGAGAAAAGGAGTTCAAAAAAACCCAAACTAGCCTGGGTTGTCTTTTGGGATCTTTTTTATTTCCCTTACTATTTTGAAGAGGACCATATTACTAAATAATTTTCAATTGGCTTAAAGGACGACTGAGTAACTAAATACGTATCGGCTTCTGCTGTGACCCCACTAACAGCTAACACTCCTCAATTAAGGAGTATAGTAATACAATCGCTCATATTACGGGTCCCTGGTATAACTTAAGCTGTATTCCTTAATTCAGCGACTTTGGAAGATGTGGGGACTTCGCAGACAGGGTTACAGGATAAGTAAATAAGGTAGCTATACGTTTAAGCGCTTGTATCCCTAAATCAGACTCTAAACCCTAAATTCCAAGCCCCGGGCCCTAAACCGAACGCACTTGTAATCTCGTTTCCTCCATCATATGCCGTTCCCAGTATGGCCCAGGACATAGAAGAGCCACAAGCATGGTAGCCCTGAGAAGGCTTACGAAAGAGAGGGTCTAAAAAAATAATTAACAATGCCAGAGTTTATTAAGGTTTAGGGTATAGGGTTTAGGATTCGAACCTTAAAACCTAAAACCCAGGTCTACCATCACAGGTCGTGGAAGTGGTAGCAGGATCCCCAAAAGAGCAGCCGCAAATCTGCAGTGAAGCGCAGCCTCAAGTCAGCTAAACCCGGAACCCACAACCTTCATCCCCAAAATCTAAGCCCTACGGTAAACTCCATAAAGTTGGAAACCGGATTAAGGCCAAATAGTGCCGGGATTCCCTATACATTACTCTTAAGGATTCAGGCTATGGGGTTTCCGACTTTTTTTGGCTTCTACTGTAAGCCTCTAAGCCCGGAACCCTGAACCTTGAACCCTAACCCCCGCCAAAGTTTACAGCGCCCTAAACCCTGAACCCCAAACCCTAAACCCCGCACGCCCGCATCGTCTAGAAAGCTCCTCAGTCACCCGCTTACGGTAAGGGGTACCATAAAGGGTTCTATGAGGGTTCTATGTGGGTTCTTAGTAGTAGGGTAGGTAAAACGTAATCTGCTTGGCAACGATAATGGCCCCTTCATGAACCCTGTGCTTCCGGGGTCGTTCTTGTAGAGGCCTAGGGCCCTAACTACAAGCTCCTTAGAAGCTCAGGGTCAGGCTTACCAAGAGTTTGCTGTTGCAGGTTTCGTGCTTTAACACCCTAAACCCTAACTCTAAACCCTAAAGAAGTTTTGGCCGTCAAACTTCGACTTCTTGTGTCCCGCTAAGCGACAAGAACCCAGAGCTAGCGCTGAAGCATTGGTTCATAGAGCCCTTTGCCCCCTGTGCAGTCGATGCTGCTGCACAAGGACGCGATGATTTTGGGCTTCGCAGGGGGGTGGGGGAGAGGGGGGGGGCAATACGACAAGCTAGGTTTGTTTGTATGTATGTATGTATGTATGTATACATATATATATATATATATATACACGTATATGTATCAATACCCCTGCATGGACTTTGGTGGGCTTCCGTCCCACGGAGTTGGGTGAAGCCGAAAGAAGCGACAATTCCTGAGCCAGTCTTTTAGGATTCCAGGGTCTACGATTTGGCATTGAGGGTGTTGGAGTTTCGCTCATCCGAAGCTTCAAAGAAGCCCTAGGATGGATTTCTGAAGCCATTTAAAGCTATCCCTACCATTTTGGGTAGTATATGAGGGTCCCCTATTTTCGGAAACTGCCTTTTCTGAAGCCATTTAAAAAGCTATCAGAAAAATCCGCTCTTCCGGCTTCGCTCCTCTCACCATGGCTTCCGTCACTGCAACCATGAAGGCCATCAACGATGCGTGCCGATCCAAAGGTGGCCACTACGCAACCTACAGCTGCAAGGTGATCTCTTGGGATGATGTGAGCCGTGGGACAGTTGGTGGCTCATTATCTTGCTGGGGGGCAAACATCACGGACACATACCTCAAGAGCAAGAGTGGAACGCAGCTCTTCACGGTGCGCAGTGACAACTGGAATGAGAAGCTGGGGGTCGTATGTGCTGATGAAGTGGCAGTCGTGGCATCTCGCACAGGTGGAGCGCTGCAGCCAGTAACGCTTCGGACGATGTTGCGGCAGATGGGCGCTTACGGCAGCTATGCTGGCCTCGAAGGGCAGACCGACGTCTCGAATTCCACCTTGGATTCACAGTGCTCCATTCGCTTTCAGACAACTTTCATTCCGGTGGAAGATGGCCCCGATGGCCGGGGGAAGCTCGAGTTTGCGACGGAGGCCTACAACTACAACACCATGAGTGATGCCGATCCGCGCAATCTCGTGTTGCTATGCACTAGCCAGGGCATGGCCGTCCAGCAAGATGGGCAGGGTGCGAACAAGCTCTTTCACCATGCGGTTGATGACGATGGCAAGATCCGCCGCTACTGGCTGGAAGCCGAGGAAAGCCGCCATCAGGTGGGTGGCGAGCAGCGAGAGACGGACCAGGAGCGGCTAGAAGCCTTGGCTCGCGGCAAGGCGACCTCGAGCGTCATTGGCATCCGTGCCATGGGCCAACGCTTCAACGTGCTCATGACCATCCAGGTCCCTCTGCAGCAGCAGGCACGGCCCACGCGCGGAGCGGGAGCTTTTCCCGTGCTGGCTTGCACCTCCATGTCATCGTTTGGCAGTGCATCGGGAGCTTATGGCATAGGCTCCGCCCCGCAGCTGTGCCTGCGCCTACGCTCAGCGGAGCCCCGCTGTGCTGTGCGAACAGGCCAAAGCAGCGCCGCGAGGGTCTCGCGTGGCACGGAGCATGATGCTGGGTTGTCTTTTGGGATCTTTTTTGATTCCCCTTACTGGAATGTAGAGGGGCATAATGCTAAATAATTTTCAAAGGGCTTAAAGGACAACTCAGGATGTTTGGAAAGGCTTGTCCATCAAATCCCCCAAGCGAAACGCTACCGAGCATGTGACCGTCACGGTTGTCATATACAACGCCGTCAAAGGGGGTGTGCCAACACCACAGGACGTCGCGGCGGCCATCGATGACCTCGAGAACCTGTACCGAGCTTGTGCTGACAGCGGTCGCTTGACCGATAGCAAGTTCGACTTCATGAAGGAGCAGCTAACAGTCGACGACGTGATCGACATTAAGTCGAAATTGCAGTTTCAGCCTCCAGCTGTGGATGTTCTCCAGCATGACGTCTTTCCGACGGCTTGAGCTGCTCCGAGGGACGTGTGACCGGCCCAGATTTACCATATCCTACGTTCCCTAAACCCCGAAACCTTGAACTCCAAACCCGAAAACCTCCAGATATACCAGATCCTACGCACCCTAAACCCCAAACCTTGAACTCCAAACCCTAAAACTTAGCCTAAATCCTTGTTGCGCTGAAGTTTTGTTTGGGTCAGCTTTGCGCCCACCCATGTGCAGCTAGGCGACGCAAGCTGCGCCCTCCAGGAAGGGGGCCTTAACCGTTGGTAATTCTATCCTTTAGGATTTCTAGCTATAGTCATAGTATGCTATCCTCCAAAACCCTATTCTAGTTATCAAGGCCCCTACTACATTATGTCTGCCGACCTTTGTACAGTCAGGTCACAAGCCTCATTAGCGCAGCAAGTGAGAGACAACCAAAAGCCAGGCTTACATTTATGGCTGATCGTCGGGTTTAAGGGTTTGGGGTTTAATGTGCAACGGTTACCAGATCCTGTTCCTCAGAAGTTCACCGATGCTTTGCAGCATTTCCGTTTTTTTCGGTTGTTTTTGCTTTTGCTACACTCGTAGTTGCCGTCAATGTTCAGTGTTACTCTTATTGCTAGCAGGAGTGTGCTAGATTATCACCACAACGCGCCATCATTGTTTTTTGGGTGTTGCAAGTTCGCCCCTTCACAGCTGCGGCCATAGTACACAATGACGGCACAATTCTCGTGGCATGGAATTCACGCACCTCGCGGTTTCTGGAGTAAGCAATAATTAGTCTGCATGGAAATCTCGATCAGTAAATGTCGTACGATATATCAAGATCCACATCGGATCCCGTGGAAGGGATGCATCATTGCCAGATTTGCAGAAGTCCGAAACCCTGAGCCCCGAACCTTCAACCGACAAAGCTGCAATCAAGAGCCCTAAACCCTAAACCCTGAAACATTTCTCATCTCCTCCACAAACCCTGCAGCCATCTATTAAACGGCCCAAAAGAAGATAGAACCCGAAGCATCAAAGTCCTCCAGCCCTGAGCTCCAAAACCTGAACACTTTTCAGCCCCAACCTCTGCACCCTGAGCTTTGAATCCCAGACCCCCGAACCCTAAACTTAGCAGTTTGTGAGCTTTCAGCCTCTTTTGGGGAACTTTTTAGCCCTATATAATCCCAAAAATTAACCCGTGGTTCCGCTGGGATACTGGACAAGCCAAAAAACCCCCAAACCTCTAAACCTTAAACCCTAAACCTGGCCCTTTGCTTCTGTGGGCAAGGAGGAGACGATGCTACAGAGAAGAGGCTGGCAGATGGAGGGGGGGGGGGTTCACAGCTTCTGCGGCCTATTAGACACATGCAGAACGGAGGGGGGGCGTGCGGGGGGTTCACAGCTTTATAGGCTTTGTGAAGAGAGGCTCGTCCTGGAGCCTATACTGTTTTAAAGGGTTTTAGCTGGTTGGTATAGGGGTTTGTAGGGGCTTTAGGGTTTATAGTGGGGAAAGGGTTGTATTGAACCCTAACTTTAAACCGCCTTGTGGACGATGTCCTTCCCCATCCCCACCAGAACTTGGCTTTCCGTAGGGTTTGGGGGCACTATAAGGGCCCAATAATTACCATTACTATTTTGGGTGTTCCTTAGTATACTTATAGTATAATGGCCCCCAAACCCGAGTCTAATTATTAAGGCCCCTGTATTATAGGTTTTAGGCCGACTGGCTTGGAACCGGATGGGAAGGATTACCGACGTGTCGACCGCCATAAATGCAAGCAAGGCTGGCAGCAGCCACTGCTCTCACAGACCTTTCCCGCCACTGTCCAGAGACTCCAAAGCCGCTTAGTTAAGGGATAAATGTTAAACTATCATAGGATCCCCAATCTGATTTAGGGAGTATTCCTTCATTGAGGGATATTGGAGTCTCTGGGTGCAGGGTAAGGCCCATCGGAGCCATTGTTGCTACCTTGAGTTCCCTTGGTCTGAGCAACTTACTGGTCAACGCTGGCTTCCCGGAGGGTGCTATCTCCTCCTGTAAGAACACGAAGTGGACGGACAGACGGGGGAAATTGCTGCGGCGTTTGCGCCTTTGATCAATCACATGTGCAATACGGACTCGCACAACTTAAATAGTATATGTTTGGACAGGACTTAGGGTACTTTGAATTCCAGCCTTGATTATGCCCAGTGTCGGCCGGTGATCTATGCTATGGGCCGTCAACCTTCAAGCTCCCCGAAGCCGGACGACATTACACTCGAAGTTGTAAAGCTACAGAATCCTAAGTAAACTGGGCGTTGGAGTGCCGTAGTTTAATACTCTTTTATCAAAGGAACCATTATGACATAAAAGTCTACATGTTTTCTCCCTGGTTATGCAAAAGCCCAGTAAAGCTTCAAAGTTCGCCAGAACGAAGCGCGGCTTTGCACAGCCTGCGCTCAAGCCCAAATGTGCTACACACTGAACCACCAAACGAGCCCCTCATAATCCCAGGCCCTCAGCCTTTAAAGAAATGCTAAACCATCCTAAACCCTGCCCTCAACCCTAAACCCTAAACTCTAAAGCCTAAAGGTAGCCTGAACAGGAGACCCTATCCAAGCTCCGAATATGAAAATTTGTTAATCCCTAAGCCCCAGACCCCAAACCGAAGTCAGTTCCCCTATTTTCAACCGAGAGCCCCCGGCCGCGGCCGTGGGGTCTTGCCATTATTCTGCTTTAGGATTGGTTTACAGTAGACCATAAAGATGCCTCCCGGATAAAGGGCAAACAGTGTCGGGATTCCCTATGCATTCCTCTTAATGATTGAGGCTATTGGGTTTCCAACTTTTCGGCCTCTACTGAAGGGTTTAGGTCTGCTCGTGCACTCACGCAGCCTCCTGCTCCCGCAGTCCAGATCGTTTCGACAGAACTCTAAACCTAAGATCCAGAGCCCCCTATGACCTTGTTTCCCTTACCCAGCATCGCTCATCAAGTACAAGGTTCGCGACACTTATGTAGCAGTGTAAGGCAGGGGGTCTCTTGCAGAGCACAGAAATTGTGGGTTCTCCTGTCCCTAGCGTCTCTTGTGCAGCCGCTTGCCGGTCCCTGCATCCTCACCCTCAGCTCCAAAAACCCCATACACCCTGGACTCTAAAGCCCTAAAATGGCCTTGTAGTGTCTATGCCAGATACTGGTGGGCTGGATCAAAAAGGCCAGCACACTTTAAAAAACCTTAAACCCTAAACCCTATACCCTAAATCCTAAACCCTAAGCCCTAAACCCTAAACCCTAAACCCTAAGCCCTAAACCCTAAGCCCTAACGCCCAAGCTAAAGCCAGAACGCCAAATCCTGAAAACACCAAGCCTGGAACCCGAAACCATGAGACCAGCCCAGAGAGCCCAATACCCCCCTTAATTAAGGAATATGGCTTAAACTATATTATGGGGCTTCATATTATGATTTAAGCTATATTCCTTAATTCCCCTATAGACCCCCTTATAGATCCCTTTAAGAAGCCCTTTAAGGAACCCTAGGTATTCCTTAATTAAGGGGTATTGGGCTCTCTGGGAGGATGTCACTGCTTGGCGCTGATGGTGCGCCTCAAACACCTACACCTGCTGCCGCAGGCCAAATCTCGAGAGCTTAGGGTTGAGGTTTAGAGTTTGGGGTAAAGGGTTTAGGGGTTTAGGGTTCTAGGTAAGTCAGGGAACCCGACCCGACAAAGTTGGAGCATGAATTGAGGATGGTTCTTGCTAGATACCATAGACTTGAGAAGAAGCGCATCACGGTGGTTATTTTCAAACTTTTGGGCTTCTGCTGCATAGGGGCCTTAACAATGAAAATTGGTCCCTTTCAGTTAGGGTTTCTAGATTCTATACGGATTGCTTTAGGGATCCCGAGAAAGGAGTCATGTTGAAGTTGAAAGCCAGAGTTTTTCGTAATATCGGGCCTTGAGAATTTAGAACTGGGTCATGTCCTGGGCTCCTTTAGAAGGGATTCAAGTAAGGTTTAGTATATTAATAACCACGATAATGGGCTTAGTATAGCGGCCTCAGGATTTTTAGTAGGGTTTTCGGGGTCTGTTGTGTCATAGCTCTAACCAAGAAGACGAAGGATGAATGTCTAGGCTTCTACATGAAAAGGATTCAGGACGCCGGCGCCCTTGCAGGAATCGTTGTTTAAGGGTGCCCTATTGGCCCGCTTGAGCCATGCAATCCGTGCCACTCAACATGAATCCTACACCTAAATTCAGCCCTGAACTTCGTTATTGAGCACATCGAGCCCGCCCTGCGAGACTTATCGACATGCCCTCAAAGCCACTGAACCCGCATTCGAGCGAGGAGTTGCTGTGTCGGATCATCAAGGCAGCTTTGGATGCAAGCAAGCCCCCCAAACCCAGAATCTGAAGCGAACATCAGACTCATAGCAAACCCTACCCTAAACCCTAAACCCTAAACCCTAAACCCTAAACCCTAAACCCTAAACCCTAAACCCTAAACCGTAAACCCGAAAGCCTGGACCGTGAAGCCCTAAGCCCCTAAACCCGGCTCTCAAAGCCCCAAGATGCCAGACCTCCTCCGCACGGAGCGGTAGTGTAATATACAAGCCTGAACAACTAGTAGTACTCGTCCGTAGAGTTCCCTCTTCGAGGTTTTGGTAAGCTGTGGTTTAGGGTTTAGGGTGAGGGTTGAGGGTTTAGGGTTTAGGGTGACTATGACCCCCAAACCCTAGTCTAGCTACTGGGTCCCCTGCCACTGCATTTATTTTCCAACCGCCTCCCCATTCCCTTTGTTCAGGTTCGCTTTGTTTGGGTTCTTAAGCAAGATATCCACTGAAACAGTACAGTCAGGGGCCGGAATAATTATCAACATTATTCCAAGGGGCTGGCTATATATTCTTGTTGTACAAAAGTGTACTGAGACCGAAACCCAACCCTATAGACCCTGGAACTGAAGTCCTGTCAAAGCCTCTGAAATTTTACCAATACTATTTTAAGGGCTCCTTGTGATAACTAAAGTATAATGGGCGCCCAAACCCTGTTCGAATTCTTAAGCC